TTTACTAAGTTTGTTCCTCTCTGGTTCTCTGGTCCTCAAACTAAGGAAATTTAAATATACCAAATATGATGATAGTATTTCATAAGATATCAGTCATGGGATACTGAATACCTCTCCCTTGTGTCTTTACACAAAGCTGCAATGACCACTTCTCCATCATAATATCTTGCTTCTCAATGCACAATAGGAAAATCAATGCCCTATACATGTTCTGGTGTTATTGTTCCCTTCCTCCTGTCTTGTCTGTTCAGATCAAGCAAACAACTTCTTCCTGAGAATCCTCTCTCAAAAGAAGAAAAAAACCACTCTTTGTCAAACACAAAGGACCTCTTTGTGAAGCCAAATCAGCGGCCATTTGCTAGACACTTTGATGACATTGATCTTTTACAAGCTTCATCCATCCCCTTTACTTAAGAACAACATTTTTCCTCTCTAGTACACTTTTACTGGGAAAAACTTAAATAAATGGGCTTTTTTTCCCCCCTCTGTTGAGAAGAAACTTTGTAGGCAGTCTGTGAAAAGGTGATATAATGCCTTCACCTTCCCCTCCTCTCCAGCAGGCTACCCCTGACTGACCCTGTTCTTCTGAGAGAGGACGATAAACGGTGCGGCACCGACCTATATTTCCCTGAGAAATGACGATAGAGACTGTGGGACGCTGCTTTCATTAATATTAATAACTCTTCATCTGCAGCGGGAGTCACATCAAAACTTATTGAACTCTGTGAACTCTCTTATTTACTCTGAACCATGGCTTTGGTATCAAAAGATGATTTGATAGAAACAGCCTAGACTCAAGAGTTACTGATTGCAATGTGACTATGGGCATCTTTTAAGAAGATAATTAAGATAACGAATTGACTAATCAACAGTCTGTAGAGGAAAGTGCCATATTTCAGCATTGTATTAAGGAGTTCAGATATACAATGTACAAAATGACACAGGGCCATTGTTTAAGAGTCGCTGAATAGAGGGGATACTCATTGTGACAAGGATGAAGCCTTTATGTTTGATTGTGGCCAGGTTGTTTATTTGTGCAGGGTGTGGGTGTGTTTGTGTGTTGTAGGTACGAGGAAGGACCTCTAGAGGAAGACTGTTCTTTGAACACTAAACAGGGTAAATGACATAACAATTACAAAACTGTGATTCTGTCTCAAACCTCTCTTGTCAAAACTTTCAGACTATTTCACAAGGCTGGAAATTCCTCACTTGACAGTTTGACTTCATTGTCACGAACACAGTCAATCTGGTGTTGGATTAATGAGCGGTTCTCTGCTGAGAGGAATGTTAATAGCGGGAACTGCAGTAAGTCAAATAAAGTTTCATTAATCTCTGAATCTGGATATGCAGTCTCTCTTTTTACAAGGTACATTTTAAAGAGATTCCAAAGAGAAATTGCATAAACAAACACCTGCCAAGACAAATGAAATGCCAGTGAGGTCTGTCCATGGTGAAAAACAAATCTGTTGTTGCTCAGAATCACAAAGGGCCTTGTCAATAATAGAGAAGGAGCCGTGGATCAGGACGCAGAATCCACCACTTTATTTGACTTGACCTTTCCGACCGTCCACTCCTTTCCTCATCTCCCCTCCTCACTCTGCCACATGCACGCACACATTACATCATTACTGTCTTCTCGTCTTTCCTTTTGTTTCCCTATACTTTCCCTCCCTCACACACATGAGATCATTGCACTGATTCCATTCCAGTTGTTACGGTTTGGGGGCATCTGGGGGACATTCCAGTGCCGAGCCCATGCACCTGCCCGGCCTTGTAATTCTCAACAGCTGCATATGCATGTGTCATATACAGCTATGACACCAGACGGACTTAATTAAATCTGAATCTGTCCAAAACGTGCACATGTTCCACATTAATATCTCCAATATTATAATAATAATGTGTAGATGATGACTGCATAATCATACAACAAGGATTCAATCCGAAGGATGTCTGAGCTGTTGGACGACTCTTCATTTTAAATGGAAACCGCCATATGTTTAGATTAGATTTAAGGTTACTGTTACCCTCTGGGGACATCTAGTGGTCAGACATAAACACTACATAGAGGATAGACACCAGTTTAGAAAACATGCAGCTGAACTCATGCTGCCCTCGTTTTTGTTTTTACTTCATCATTGTTTGGGTTCACACAAACCCCACTAGTGTATGTGTAAAAATAGATATTCAAATATTAGCCTCTTTCTTTTCTTCTGACCTTATAAAACCAATATGTAGTAGTATTGATGTGAACCCAAACAAAATTGCAGAATCATTTCCTGCTTTCGGAAACAATCATGTTTTTACATTTACACATATTACATTTAAAAACCGCATTCCTTAGCCTTAATATACAACTTTACAGATTACAGATCAGTGTTTACATAGCTGTTGGAAATGACTGTATTCCTTTAAAGACGCGATATATACAGTAGAAGTCAGAGCTTTAATACAGCAGCAAACAACTATTTGCTATGTGAAGCTCTCCGTCTGTGTGTGTTGTTATCAGAGCTTCTCCATACTTCGTCGACATAGCCTGCCGTGAGCAAACCAGTGGGGCCCGTTCACATGCACTAACTTATGCTAAAAGCATGCACACAGCCAGGAAGGCATCGTCAAGGAATTACGATGATCCACCCCCCGGCCCCCTCACGTTAACTCTGTCAGCACTTTTGCACTGTTCGCACTGTTCGCACTGTTAGCCCTGTTAGCACTGTTAGCAGTGAGCCATGTTGAGAGCCGTTAAGAGGCAATAGAAATTCTCCTAACCTATAGCACCTTTAATATTTATAAAAAGAATAGTAGTGACAAGCTACTACACTACTGCTCGTCTTAATGGAATTCCTATATTTGTTGATAGACTAACTGGCACCCAGGCTTCAAGTCAAAATTTTAATTTGAACACGCATGTACACATGCACATGAAGAAAAGGGAACAAGAGAGTCATAATGAGTTCATGCTCCGTTTGTATTCTGACCTGCAAAGTAAAGCCAACCACAAACAGTATAGTTCATGAGATGAGACTACAGGTTTCATCACTGCATGATAATGCCTTGACATCACATACACTAAAATATGTAGTAGGTCATCATTGAAGATAATTTATAAAAATCTTATGATCATTTTATCAATGTATTCCTGGCAATAATTCCGTTAATTTATGTTTACAGTGCTGCAGTGTGCTGGAATAAATACTACACAGGAAAGTACAGAGAGAGAGAGAGCTATATGAACAGTGAAGGAACAGGCCTTGAGGATCCCAGTCCTTTGTCTGTCTACCTAGTTGGACCAAGTCCCATCTTCTGAGTAGCTCATGTTTCTTTTCATTCATCATATCTCAATCTCATTGCCCCATTTGTTGTCCATTTTATTATCCTATCCTAAATCTGTCATATTATCAGCCTCATGGACGTCTTTGACCTGGCCAGCTTATTCTATTTTATTACATTTCCTTGGTTTCACTTTAATTTTTTTTCTGAGAAGATTTAAGATGAAGAGTCACGGCTGAGTTTGTTAAATATTACCATACTGTAATACACATCCTGTTCTCGTGTGGTTTGTCTTGTTACAGTATCATATATCAATTGTTGATTACTTTCTACGATGTCTTTTGAGACAGAGTTCTCTGTGGCTATAAATACATCCGACAGTTAAGGACTGTCAAACCTGTTTTAAAGATGACACACTACTGAATGGCATTCGGACATCATTGTGGTGTTACAAGGATAACAACTATGCTATGATATTATAGGCTATCGTAAATATAGTTCTTGATCAAAGTAAATATTATATACGTACAGTATATAAGAGGTGCCTAAGATTTCTAGTATTTAAACCTGGATTTCAAGCTAGGAGCTCCTGGGGAATCATAAAAACAAACAGAGAAACAGAAACAGAAATTAAAAATGAATTACGGAAATACTGTGATGCTACACCATTTATAATTGTGGTGGCTCTGATTACATGTTGTTTACTTTGAGGGCTTTCACCTCGTTGTCCCACAAACAGATGGCAGAAGTGGCTGTCATAATTTCCATAACAAACCCTGACGTTTAGATCACAAAGGGAATGCACTGACATCATTAATTGGTATGTAAAAACAAAAGAGACACACACACACACACACACACACACACACACACACACACACACTCACACTCACACACACACACACACACACACACACACACACACACTGTTATCACAGCAGACAACAGCTAGTGTAAATAGTTCAAAACAGCTCAAAACACAAATGGGGAAATAGACAACATTAACAACATTAGTGTGAATGATGTTATGAAGTGGTTGTTATGTTAATGACAGATGTAGGCCAAGAACAACCAGAGCATCTTTATTGTATAGAGAGAACAGAACACATCGTATTATAACACTGGTATATTATAACATAAAGGCCAAGCAATATATAAATATATATAAACATAAATATATATTGTCAATATATCTTTTTTATTTTATATTTTATATTATGTATTGTGATTAAAAGTTGTGTGACGAATCTAAGTCTTCTGCGTCCAGTTATCGTCTGAATGCCTTTTTATTCTGAAGGATCTGGGCCGGAAGTCTTTATTGCCGATGCTGCAGGTGGGCACGAGCAATTAAGGCCCAGTGTATTTCCTGGGATAACGCCCAAACTTTCTTGGCCAAAGTTTTGCCAGAGGACGCAAAAGTAGGTATTTTCCCCTTTCATGCTTTAAAATGAATTTCCTCCAATTCCACCTTTAAATATGCATGGTACTAATATTTGTATCTTTCTCATCATAATTGTGATAATGAGTCTCATGTTAATCTCAGGTAACAATACTTTTAGCAACATTAAATTAGGCTAACGTTACTGCTAACGTTGACTGTTCATCCTGTGGAGGTTTGATAGCTTTGCTATGCAAGCAGTGTGTATCTTTTTTACGACCGTTGTCGTAAAACAAATTAAATGTAACATTCTTAAGTAGTGTGACGTTATGCCGTAATCCGGGAAGTTCAAGGAGGCTCTGGGAAAAAGGCTGGACTTTAAACTATGTGTCAACCTGCCCACACGTGCCAGTGTAGCAAAAGGTCCTGACGAAAATGAAAATGAAATACATGCCAGAAGGTAAACAAACAAACAAACAAACACGCACTGCACACATAAGTTACAGCTAACAAACAATGTCACTATAAAAGGGTAAAGTTACAAATACCCAATAATGCCCCTCAAATAATGTTGAGTGACATAAAAGGTAAAAAAAAGAAGGAAGCGGAGTGAATACACGGTGGCTGCATACCTCCGTTAACGCCTGGCTGGAAAGCGAATTTCCTCTGGACTTTTCTCAACTCTAGACGATGATGGGGAAGTTCGCCTCTCAAATGTCAGCATGGCTCTCATATAAAAGTCGCCCGGAATCGCAGAAGAGTAATCCCAAGGTAAGATGGCTTTTTGACTGATTGTTGTTAATTGTTTAAGTTTTATTTAAAAAAAAAGTAATTAAAAATAAAGACATGAAACCAACCGCAGGGGAACGTGAGCCTGTGTATCCGCCGTTTTAGAATAGATTGTTAATGTAGAACTACATTGTATAAATTATATATGCGACTAGAAACTATACAAAATATTATTAATTACATTTGATCTGGATGTTTTTCAGGATAACATGATGGAAATATCTTAGCAGTGTCATAAAAACAACTCCTCTTATTTTTCTTTTATGTACATGCAGTTATTTCAACAAGGATGAACACATAGCTAGTGGCTCTTTGTAACTTTGGTATAGGATAGTGAGTGTAAATTGTCTTCATTTAGCCTGTCAGTGTGTTTTTGTAATGTCAGAATGGTGCTTTTAGCCTATTAGGATTTCTTTTTTTATTTTGGTTTTATTTATTAATGTATTACTATTGAGATGATTTCCATATTTTTGTATTTATTATTTACAACATGAATGTATGGCTTTTTGTGTCAACACAAGATGTAATATATATGGGCTTGTGCATTCAAGAGTCATTCTGATTTGTGTTGTTTACCTCATGCTCTCTTTCTGTAACCAGCTCATCTTCTCTCTCGCTGTCTTCTCTTTGTTATGCAGATGAAGTTATTTGTTTTCAGTTTCGTCTGTGCATTTCTGCAAGTCAGTCATCAAAATCCAGCCAGCCAGTGGACCATGAAGCCCCACGGTACGCTTGATCTCTATGAAAACACATCTCACTCCAAGCTCAAGTCATTCTTCCCTAACCTGTTTCAATTCCTGTGTGTCCTCCATTAGTTCTGGTTGTGGTGGTGGATGGCTCTTTGGGCCAGCAGTCCTTGAGCTGCCTGGAGCGGCCAGAGGAGCTTCCGAGGAGAGACAACAAGGATGAGGATATTTCCTGGAGGAAGAACGGAGTGGAAGAAGCGCAGAGAGGAAATGCATATCTGCTGGAGCTGGAGGAAAGCTTTGCGGGGGGAAACTACACCTGCCACAGCAAGGATGGGTCTCTCCTCAATCACACCGAGGTCCTGATCCAAGATGACGAAACTAACCGCAGGAGAATTCTTGTGAAAGCCGACCAAGGTGCGGTCTGATTTGAAATGTTGCATTGTCACTGTTATACAGCAGCTAGATTTGGGGAAAGTGTTTCATCTGGTAAATTCCTGTTTTCTTTTTTTTTTGTGTTCCCCTTTTCTGCATGTTTGTGTTACTTCTCTTATTAGGGGACTATTTAGATTGCTCCACTCAAAATTACAACGGAGAGTTCCAGTGCTCTTGGACCTGGCACCCCCGACGCGTTAGCAAAGTAGCATTTATCAAAGCTCGACGGTAAGTTCACAAACTGCTGAAATGTTTTCTGCTTCGCTGTCCAATAATAACACATTATTCTGGCTCATGTCAGAGCTGAGACTACAAAGTGGCATCCATAAATACCTCCTTATGAAAGGATACATAACAAAGTACTTTTTATATGTCATTTAAAGACCAAGGTCATGTCTTGGGATCAGATTCCATGTAACAGTAACACAGCTGTAAAAGCTCCTGAGTATATACGTTTAGCTTTTTCACCTATTAGTCTTTGAGAAACTGTGACAGCTTCTTGGCATGAAATACAGAGCCAAATTTACAAAATCAGTGTGTCATCTGAGTAAAAAGACCGTTTTTTACACCATTCTATGCAGTCTTTCTGACGACAACGACATCCAGTGTTCTGTGGATGAAAGCGGTCAACGTTGGACATGCTCTTCAGGTCAGAGTAACTTCGGCTGTTCAGTGGACGAAAGCGGAAACAGGATCTTGTGCCTGGACCAGCAGCACTGCCCCTACGCCGAGGAGAGCCAGCAGATCCACGTCACTGTCTACGTGAAGACGGCGCACTTCCTGGTGGAGAACTACTCCAAATACCTTTACCTGTCAGAGATAGGTCAGACATCTCTGGGTTTATTTCCGTCACATAATACAGCGTTGTTTGCTTTTCTTTCCATTCCTGTCTTTGCTTTCATCTCACTCTATATCTTTTTTTGTTCGGCCTCGATAGTGAAACCCGACAAGGTGACAATCAGTAAAGTCAACACTACGATGATAGAGTGGAGTTACCCGAGCTCCTGGAACAGTCCCTACTCCTACTTCCCTCTCACTTTCCAGATTGCACAGTTTAGGGGGCGACGCAAAAGGTGCGACAACCAGTGCACTGACCCAAAAGCCACGAAGGTAAGAGGGACCTGCTGAATTGAACTGTGAAAGTGGAGGGGAAATAATACAGAAATGTCATGTTTGTGTGACAAACTATAAAGTTACTGCACATAAAAAAAATGATGAGAAGTAATTTATTCTTATTCCTCAGACCTCGACGGTCCACTCTACTTGTCAGTTCGAGGTGAAGCGATGGGCTAAGGCCGTCTGCATCCGGGCTAAGGATGCTCTGTGTAACTCACAGTGGAGCGACTGGAGCTTTCTCAGGTCAGTGCCTCCCAGTGGTGTGAAGTGGGACCAGTTCCAACCTTTTCTCCGTCACCTGACTCCTCCTGCCTGCAAACCTAACTGTGTATACTTTGTTGGTAGCTTTAGCTCTCTGCCTGGTTGTTTTTATGTTGCTTGTCAGTTTTCTACAAATGCATTTTCACGGCTTTCTGCTGTGAGTTTTGATGTATCAAAATGGGAGAAAATCTTTCCTGTTTATTACATTTTTACTTCTATTATCACCGATTTTTGCACCGATTAATAGACTTGCTTTACATAGTCACATTGTTGACAGCATCAAACTAAACTAGATCTCAGAAACTCTCATGATGTAGACTAGCTTGTAACTTCTGTTTTCAAAAGTGCTAAATTCAAACATTTTGCTTGCTTGCTTGGAATATAGTTAGAAAATAATAATTTCAGACTAATTTCCTTATTTGTTTTTCATTACAGTTTGAGGAGTCGCAAGAAGAACAAAGGTCGGAAGAAGCCAAATCTTACAGTAGAAAAATAATCTCTTAAGATGTCTATTTATGTTTTTATATATTTACATTCATCTTTTACATCATGCAGTTTGTAATATGTAACCATTCTTAATCATGAGTGAAGAATTAAAATATTTAACACAAGCTTTTTCGTTTCTTGCCTCATACCAAACATTACTACCTCACGTCCTGTTGCTGTATATTGGATTTCCCTTTGTTTCACAGTTAGAAGCAGAAGCTTCATCCTAAGCCATAATTAAAAGAACTGATGTTTAGATTTGAATGATGGCATTGGCAAAGTATTTATTGAAACGTCGTACAAAGTTTTCTTTTGTACCACATTTCCGTATTACCTTTAACAAGGCCTTTACTATACACTCTCAACCCCGTACCTTTTAGTAGAGAACAGAAACCTCAATAGTTGTTTCTAAATAACCAATAAACAAAAGGTTTCAATTTTGAGTCTTATGGCTTTTCCCAGGTGAGTGTGGCTTTTGGTGGAAACCCTCACACTGCAACACATCACAAAACTGCCGTCTGGCTTTGAACAGTGTCTGTTCTCTCAAAGGAGATATGGCACAAGTGGTATTTCCTCTGCAGCGTGCCAAGACACACATCTTGTTTTTGTGTCGTGTTTCTCTCTCTCTCTCTCTCTCTCTCTCTCTCTCTCTCTCTCTCTCTCT